AGATAGTTTCACCCTGAGTAAGTGAAACTACCTTCGTTCACATATGTGGCCCTGATCGTGAGAGTTTTGACGCAAAACATCACTTTATTCTGAGTCCTGTATAGACACAATAAATCTCTTTCTAAAAATGTGTCTTCTGAGACAGTATCTAGCTCTGAAAAACACTTGCTAAGCATAACTGTTACGTAGAAGAGAGATATTTTTCCCTCTTTTTTTTTTGTAGGAAAAGCTGTTGTTGGAGCCCATGTTTGAAGTGCCCAATTCTGACATCGTATGCGTGGAAGTCGACAAAGATGTTGTAGAAGGCAAAAAAGAGCCAGGATACATTAGGTAAAACTGTAATGGCAGTATTGGAACAGATCAGTAATACAGCCAGAAAGGTGTTCTGACATTTGCCGTAGGAACAAGTGTTTAAGTATAAAACTATGCACACGTCCTAGAAAGAATCTGATTCTCTGTATATCATGCACAGTTAACTTAGTGCCTATTCTGTCCTAGAGACTTTGGGTTTGTATTGCTTCAGTTTTTAAATAGAAATTACAAAATAAACTTTCATATGAATTTGTTTTAAGCTCTCTGTGTGTGTGTCTATATGCCTGCAGAAATAGAAAAGTAAATGATGAGCATGACCAAGTTAATAGTAAAAATCTGAAGTTTTAAATGTGACTGTACTGCAGTTTCGGAAGTGGAACCCCCTTCCCTTCTTTCTTCTAGTGACTGTTCACTCTGTAAGGTGAAGCTCCTTTGGGCAAGCTCCAGGCCTCTACAGTTTTCTTCTCTATTGCCCTTGCAGCAATGAAGGGCCAAAAAGAAGCATCTATTGTTGTCTTTGTGAGCACTTGTTAAAATAATAGATGTACTGTTGTAAAGATTGTGTTATGTTAAGGATGTGGTAGAGCACTAAAGTCATTGGACAAAGCTGGATTTAAATCAAAAATTATTGTAGTAAACAAAGGAGGAGATTGAGGGGGAGGATGGGTCAGGTTAAGGACACAGGACTGGGATTTATGAGCTCTAGCATGGCTTCCAGGCCTGCGAGAATGTTTTTGTGTGACGTTCTTAACTGAAAAACATGCTCTATATGTGTCTGTATCTGTGCTGAAGCTTACTTCAGCACGCTTAGTTCCTCAAAGGGGGTAGTTGAAGGGGAAGATACTAATAGTTGCCTTCAGTTATTTTGCAGAGCACCAGCACTTCTGTTTGCTTAACATTTGAAATTTACCGATTAAATCAAATACCTGAATCCAATGGCCTCTTGGTTTTCAGTAATGACACTGCTTACTGGTGGTAGTTCAAATCTGCACAGCACCATTTTCAACTCAAAAGGTTGTTTTGCAGATGGCATACTTGTCAGAACACTTTTTATCTTTGTAGACCACGTGTTTATCAGAAGCTATGGAAACTATCTCCATTCTTTTCTCAATTTCTATATCTGATCAGTTCATTTTAATTATAGGGCTCCTCCTAAAGATTCATCTGAAGAAGAATATGACTCTGGAGTGGAGGAGGAAGGCTGGCCTCGGCAAGCAGATGCTGCAAACCATTAAATACTGTCAGAATGCTCTCCTGCATAAAGCGCACTTGGTTATTTCTTTAAGATTACACCTGGCTTCACAGTCCGATACTAAAGGCATTGGATCTATCTTGAATATGATACATGATCAGGAAACTTATCAGATAAATCAGATCATGTATTTTATTGTAACATCACATTGATTTATTTGATGGACATTGTGTGGACTTGAATGGCATAATGTTCAAATATAAATTGTATATTGCTTTTGTTCAATTAAAATATATAGCAAATATAGCAACACCTGGATTGCTTTTTCCAAAACTGAACAGCAATGCAGGTGCTGCCAATAGTTAATTTTACAATAATGTTACTCTACGAATGGGAAAATAAATGTAATAATTAGTAGAGGGTAAATAAACTATTAGCTCCTCGTGCAACTCACGTGCTTGGGTTACGTTCAGGTCAGCCTTAGATTTCTGCTGGTGTTTGAAACCAAATTGGTGCTGGAGTGCATTGTTACATTTGGTGTGAGAGGAAGCCCTTGCAACTAGATTTTGAAAAACTTAGACACATTTTATAACACTGCTGGGCAACTTTGGAAAGATGTAACACTAGTTTGTTACAGTAATTTGGCTGCAACTGAAAAATACATCCTTCTGTTCACTTTCCATTAGGATTAAGTTTTATAGTCACCTTGAATACTGTGAAAGAAGGTGAAGTCAATAATCTGCTAATTTTTCCAGAAGGGTAAATAGATTTTCTAGGAAGCGGTTGGCCACGTGGGTTTGGATGAAAAGTTGGCATAAATTTTTAAATATTAACGTTCTAATATAGTACATTTTGTTTAACATATTGGAACTATCATGCATCAATTTTTTGGTGCCAGGTATTTGCCCAACCTATCTTATAATGTTAAGAGATGAAAGAAGTAAATGTATAATATTTTTGATGTAATCAGTAGTAATTGTTCACATGACAGTGCTTTTTTTTTTTTTTTTAAGTTATATGCTTAAAAGCTAGTATTGCATCTTGTGGTTTTGTCTTTGATTTTTAGTCTCACAGCAAAGCAGTCCTCCCTCTTCTGTTTTACACCAAAATAAATTCAATCCTTTAGGAAAGTATTTGTAAAAGCACTAAAGGACCTGTATGTTTTTGATTCATTTCAGGAATTAAAATCGTTACTTACAGCTTTGTTTTATTCTTCACAGTGATGCATGAATTCAGATTTTACTCTTCCCTCCCCCCCCCCAAGGTTTCAATTCAAGCTATTTAAATGAAACTCCTATCTTTCTTTTCAGTCTTGTGGGTACTGCAGATATGTTGGCCTTGGTTTTTTTTGTTAATTTTTGTCATGTAAGTTTTAAGTGAGAGTCATGTAATACTTGTGTTCTTACATAGAATCAATATGACATGCACTTTTAGTCAGATCTAACAGATACTTCTCGTAGGATTTCACCTTTATTTTCTGGTGAAATGACCCATTAATGGTTCAGAAAAAGCTGCTCTCAGTATTGAGGATACTTCTAGGAGAAGCTTAGTCATCTCAAAGTTGGAATCTCTAGTGAACTATCTGTAACCTTATGCTCCTTTTCCTTTTTGTAGAGTGAAAAATACAGCCGCTCTTAATTCTGTAACCTTTAATGCAAATCCTTTTTTAAATGGATTGAAAACACTTTAGGGAAAACTGTTAAACAACTTAGTTTTGAAAGTTGTTTTGAATTATGTAGTCAAGAAATGTTTTTAAGGAAACAACTTCTGTGCAACTGCAGTTTGTACTTCAATCCACTTTTGCCATTTGAATAAAACGAAGTGACTACCCGAACACGGCTTTCTCTGTCGTGCCCAGGCCCTGCCTAGCCCGAAGCAGGAACGTCCGCGGGGCGGAGCCGGACGGGGCTTGCGGCCCCGCTCGCTGCCTAGGTTCGGCTCAAGCTTTGAGAGCCGCGCTCTTCAGAAAGGAGGTGGTGGGCGATGAAGGCGTGACTCCTGCGCTCTTGCGAGGTGGAAGAGGTACCCGAAGCGCAACAGCCATGCGAGGGGCGGCGGAGAGAGCGGAGCCGCTCGCAGCTTTTCGGCAAAAAGGGGCTGTTGGGGCGGGGGGCTCCCGGGCGG